AAGGCAAGGAAGAGGAAGGAGAAAGAAAGGGTGCCTACTAGGTTCAAAAGAATCCAGGGGCAAAAAATTTTTCAAAAAAATTCTATTTTTTTTGTGGGTTTTGTTGTTTGATTATAATGATGAAGAACCTAACAAGGGTATAAATTAGTTGAGATGAATAAATTGGTTGAGATGTTAGAGATTAGTTAAGATGTTAGGGTTTGCAGAGGTTGAGGAAAGGGAAGAGGAAATAGAGGAAGAAAAAAAAAAAGATAAAAAAAGGGATTTTTTTTTTTTTATGGGATGAGTTGGAATGGCCATGTCATCTATTTTTGCTAACTTGTCAATTTTTGTGTGACATGTAATGCTTCTTCTGTCTTCTTCCATCAATTAATGTGAAAAAAATTAACTGAAGGACCAAATCGAGGTTAAAATGGTAAACAACATGGCTTAAATTAGGGATTTTTTAAGTTTAGGGACCAAATCAGGGGTTCATACAATAGTTTAGGGACCAAAATGGAGTTTTAACCAAGAAAAGTAAAAGTAAACAGTTTCATAATTTCATTCCAATGATAGACGGAAATTTCAAGTACATTTTGAACTCACTTTATGCATTTTGTAAGTCTCAAATGTCTAAAAATATGTATGCAAGTCTAATAATATTTTCCCACTTAAGAATAGTGGGCAAAAGTCTACTTTTAGCCCCTCATCTTATCAAATTTGAAGATTTTAGCTCCTTACCTTATACTATGACATTTTTAATCCCTTACCTTACTAGATTTGTAGGTTTTATCCCCTCACCTTATACTATGACACTTTTAATCCCTCATTTATTAAAATTAAAGAAAATACCTCTCATTTTGTAACATTTTGTTAGTTTTATTAACTGACTGTTAACTCTGTTAGCTAATTGTTAACTCTATTAATCGACTGTTAGTTGACTGTTAGCTTACAAAAATCCTCTTTCAACTAATAAAGTTAACAAAACTAATTTTATAATATTTTGTTAATTATGTTAATTGACTATTAGTTAACTGTTAGTTGATAAAAACTTATTTTCAGCTAATAGAGTTAACAGTCAGTATAAAATGAGGGTTATTTTCTTTGATTTTAATAGGTGAGGGGTTAAAACCTATAAATCTAGTAAGGTAAGGGGTTAAAAGTGTAATAGTATAAGGTGAGGGGCTAAAACCTTCAAACTCGATAAGGTGAAGGGCCAAAAGTAGGCTTTTGCCAAGAATGGTGTGCTGGGTTTGCATGTGAGTGGTGGTTGTCGGCACTAGAAGCTTATGAGAATTGTGGGAACATATATAAGAAAAAGTGTTTTGTAG